GGCCCCCAACGCCACGGAGGCGCCTCCGGGACCTGGGGCCCCCAACGTGACGGAGGCGCCTCCGGGTTCCTGGGCCCCCAACGTGACGGAGGCGCCTCCGGGTCCCTGGGCCCCCAAAGCCACGGTGGTGCCTCCGGGACCCGGGGCCTCCAACATGACAGATGCGCCTCCGGGACCCGGGGCCCCCAACGCGACAGACGTGCCTCCGGAAACCGTGGCCTCCAATGCTCCGAGCGTGGCTCCAGCAGCCATGACCTCCCGTACAGCGGGCATGACTTCAACAACCACAACCTCCGGCGCTGCGGGCGTGGCTCCAGGACCAGCCGGGTTTCTCCTTGCAGCCTTTGCTGGCCTCCTCCTGATGACGCTTCTCTCTTAATTCCCCACCCGGTGCAACAGCCACACCGCACTGAAATCCACCCCTGGAGCCTGCGTTAGCCCCTCTCCCCTCCGGGGGTTCTCGGCTCCCGCATGGACTCACATCCCCTTGATATTGTTGCACTGAATAAAACACACTGGAGACCAAACTCTCTGGAATTTTATTTATTTATTTCAAGGGGGGGGGATTTAATTCTCGTGGGTGGGACCATCAAGAAGCCAGTTAAGAACAGAAGCGCGGCCACAGCTAGTCCAGTGTCCTGTCTCTGACAGTGGCACAACCACAACTTCCGGGGCAGTGTCCAGAACATGGCGATTTTATAGAAACCCACGCCATCTTCACCTCCTGGCGTCTGGCAGTCAGAAGTTTAGGGACACCCTGAGCATGGGGTTGTGTCCTTGACCCTCTTGGCTAATTGCCATGGATGACCCTATGTTCCAGGAATTTATCTAGTTCTTTTGGTGCTGTGGGACAGGGGAAATAGCAGTTCTCTGGTCACTTTCCCCACCCCATGGCATGATTTTCTGCCCTCTGTCGCATCCCCCCTAAGTCGTCTCTTTGCCAAGCTGAACGACCCTAATCCTTTTAGTCTTTCCTCATATGGAAGCCACTCCATGCCTTATGATTAGGTTAGAAATATCTCTAGTGGGGAAATTAGGCAGCAGAGACCGGGGCTACACAGCCCAGGAGAACGTCAGTTCAGCCTTCAGCGGGGGTGCAAACGCTCTGGGACCTGCCGAAGGAGCCACGGTACAAAACAGACGTGCTGGAGCCAGGGACCTAGTCTTGAAGTAGCGGAGCCGTGGGGGTCTCCCATGGCAGCCAGGGGCCTGGCTATAAGAAGGGGATGTTCCCAGAAAGCCTGCATCACGGTCAGACACACGGGGTCATCTCCGTTTCAATCTGCCTTGTAGCAGGTCCGCGGTTAATCAGATCCTTCTGTGTGTGCCGGCCATCCATCTCGCTTTGGGTCTTCCAGCCCACCTCTGACCGAAGAGTGTTAAAACACCGTTTTCTGGATAGTCTTCTGATGTTCCCTGGCCAAACCGGCTAAGCCTGGACTCCCTCAGCCAGAGATGACCCGGGCCTCCCCATACCGGGAGGGGGGCACAATCTAAAGGGGAGGACATGCGACCACCCCACGTTTCTCCTCTGCCTAGAGACACCCCCCCCCCCCCGCCTTGCACCCAGCCTTGGGCCATCAGGCTTTCCCTGCCCCACCAGAGAGGGGAGGGGGCTCTGTCCTTCTCCCGCTGCGCCTCCCCCCGGCACGTTGGGCCGCTCTCCCTGGCAGCCAGGCCTGGGCGGGGAGCAGGACGGAGCCGCTGCTCACGCGGCTGAAGCCGGCTGGTCCCGGTGGCTGCTCTGTGCAGCGCAGCGGCTCCCTGACGGAGCCCGGCTGGGGCTGCCTCTCACGCCAGCTGCCCTGCGTCATTGCTGTGTGCAGGGCGGGGGCCTGTCCCACCTCCTCTACGCCCCTGCCCGGGTCTGTCTGCCAGGGACAGGGGCCGAGTGAGCCGGAAATGTGGTGTGGGGAGAGGGGGGGACTCTGGATCGCTCAGCCCCTGTCCCCGGCTGCCAGGACCCAGTGGGGGGCAGAAGGAGCGGGGCAGGCCACCTCCCCAGCCGGGCTCTCCCAGGCAGCTGCCGGGCTGCACAGAGCAGCAACCCTGAGCGGCAGGCGTGAAAGCCGGCTGGGCCTGCCCCTTCCTCTTCCCAGCCTGTCCCGGCTGCCAGGGACAGGGGCAGGGGCAGTGGGAGAAGGACAGAGCCCCTCTCCCTCTGCCCCAGGAGGCCAAGCAGGAATTGGGGGTGTGGGGGAACATGATCCCCCATGCAGCTCTGCCCCATGACCTCTTGAGGGCCCTTCCAGTCCTAGGGTTCTGTGATTGACACTGGCCCGCGTTCGTTCCGAACACGGCCCTTCCTTGGCTCTCGATCCACCTCAGCGATCTGATTTCCACTCTGGCCAGGATCTGCCCCCCTCTCTTCCTCAGTCCCCAGCCCGACACAAATGCCGGCCTAACCATGGCTGGTTGGGTTTTACTTTCGGTTTCCCCGGGGCAGTCTTCTAGCACAAATCTGTACACCCGTCTGAGCCAGCGCGCATCCTCAGCCCCCTCTAGTGGGTGCATCGTGGCAGAGGTTTATGAGTCTGGTGCTGCATTATTGACCTCAAACCTGACCTTCTAGTTCCAGTTTGTGCTTAGGGACCCAACGGTCACAGGTTCAATCCCCTCCTTCCAGAAATGGAACATCCAGGAGGGCTGCTCCCCTGAAAGACACAGCAGCAGCTGTCTGATAAAGTACCTGCCACTCAACCTCTGCCAGAAGGGAGAGAGTTCAAATATCTGATTGTTATTGTCCGACCTAGGACCCCCTTGGTGCTGTGCATCATGGTTGCTATTTATTAGGTGTATTACGGTAGCACCCAGGCCCCCCAGTCGTGGTCCATGACGGCACTGTGCTAGGTGCGGTACATTATGATTACGATTTATTAGGTGTCTTCAGCCTGTTCCTTTGACCCAGTCACCTCCTCCTCCTCCTCAGGGCCCTCCCTGTCCAGAACAGCTACCGGGAACCTGGGATCTCTCCCAACCAGGAGATAAAAAGGAGCATGACCCATTGATGTGGCCATTGGCCGCCAACCCCAGCTCAGTGAGATGTTCCTGCCAGGCCCGCAGCTTTTCAGGCGGTGAAACCTCTCGCACTGAGCGTTTCCTGGCGGGCGACAGGGTGGTGTTCGGCTTTCGGCAAGGCCGGACAGTTTGCACAGTTCAGAACCGTACCGTGGCTGTGGCCTGGCCCTGGAGGTATTCGTCTCCGAAGTCCACACGAGCTTCTTCAGGTCCTCGTAGCACACGCGTAGCCGCCTTCACAGACTTGACCCGCTGCCCTACTGTAATATCTCCCGATCTAGTTGGGAACCCACTGAACTCTGTGAGCTTCGGCTCCCCTGGGACATTAATAGCAGAGGGTTTCTTAGCTTCTGTTGCCTGTTGCCCTCTTAGTCACTGATAAATCTTCTCTCTGCTCAGTTCTAGCTTGTCGTAATGCCTCTAGGGCTTCCAGCTTTCTAATTGCACAAAACCAAACACCCTTGCCCTGGCCTCTCCCCTCCCCCTTCTCCAAAGCCCCGCCTCTTCTCTGAGGTCCCGCCCCCACTCGCTCTATTGCCCCTCCCTCTGTCACTCGCTCTCCCACACCCTCACTCACTTTCACCAGGCTGGGGCTCCAGTTGTTGTCAAGGTCATCAGGAACGTGATGGGAACGCCCAACATGACTTTGCCAGCCTGGCAGAATCCCTGCATGGCAGGGTCCTGGCTCTTCTCCATGCCCAGGTCCCCCTGTTCTGCTCTGCGTTTAAACGGGGCTTAACGTGAGTGTCAATGGACCAAATGCGGGGAAAGGACCAAAAACACCCCCAGAGCTTTAGCCGTCCCCATACACAGCACTTCAATGTACCAAGAACTTTGCAAAGGTTATTACGAGATCTGGTGGAGGTTGGCAATATTGTTATAATGTTTACAATGAAAAGGAGAGACAGGCCCTGTGACTTTCCCGTGTAGGGAGAGGGACCAGTGGCACCATGTGACTGAGCAGGGCCAGCAAAACCCTGACAAAATTCTGAGGGGGGGCACGTGCCCCCCTACATGACCTCTGGCTTCTGCCCAGCAGGGAGGGCGATTTTGGGATTTTGGGATTTCAGCTCAAGTCCCGAGACCCCCCCTCTCTAGAAGGCTAAAGCCTCCTGCAGGGATAAAGGCCTGAGCCCTGGCAGGTGCGCCCCGGCTCTCGAATGTCTGAAAAGCGTCATATGTGACTTGGAGGGTCCGAGACCCTGCACTAGACCATATGGCCTTATGGAGCCCAGATTTCCAAGGCTCCCCCAACCCTACTCTGCAGTGCCCCGTTTTCTAATCTATAGAACCCAGGTGTCCTGGCTGCTGTCCCCACTTCTCTCACCACCGGATCTCGCTTCTCCCAAGGACAGGAGTGGGGCCCAAGAGTCCTGCCCTTAATTTGCATGGCACCGGGACCAGAACCCAGGAGTCCTGCCGCCCTGTCCCTTGTTTGACCGGCAGGGGTTAAAAGCAGCCCCGGAGTGGGCTGCATCTGGGAAAAGCAGTGAGAGCAGCTGAGGGAGTAGCTGACCACAGGTGTGGCCGGCTCAATCAGGGCCCAACTGGCCCTGCTAAGAGGGCTGTGGGCCAGGAACTGAATGAGTCTCACTCTAGCTCTAGAGTGTGTTACCAGATGTGCCCATTACTTTGGGGTATGCTCATTTATTCGGGTTACTTTTTATGGGGGTGGATGTGTCTGTAATTCTATCAATGTACTGCTTGTGTCACTTGTGTTTTCATATGGAGTTTTCCTTCTCCCTTCTGCAAGTCCCCTCCCAGTGGAGCTATCCTGCAGGACCTAGGTTCCCCAGGGCTGGGTTTCTCCAGCCCCAGAACCGGATGAACACCCACACACCCACACATACATTAACAGAGCAAGTCTGAGCGGACCGGGTCAATCAGCACTGTCAAGCTGACCCCTTATATGTCTCTGGACTCACTGGGCTGGAGGAAGCGGCACTTCCAAGCTGCCCCCCCTTATATGCCCCTGGGCTCCATGGACTGGGTCAAGCAGCACTTTCAAGCTGTTACCCTTCTGCGTCCCAGATTCAGCACGTCCCTATCCCCACTCCCCCAACACAATTGTACTGGCAGTAACCGACTCGATGAGCAAACCCCACAATATTTTGGGCCCTGCAGGGATCTTTAGCTTAGGTAAAAGAAGCGTTGCTGTAGAGTGAAGGGGGGAAGCTAAAAACACAAACGAGTGAAGTTCAGCAAGAGAGAGAGAAGCAACCAACTAACCATAAAAGTTATTTATTGAATAATAGTGATAACTACACAAGGAGAGCTAAACCAACAGAACATACATTATTAACGGTTAATACCTAAGGTAGAAAGGAAAACAGAGAGAGAGAGAAAGGGGGAGGGGGAATCTCACCGCTCCCTGAAGCTTGAACTGGTCGGGGTTCCCAGATGATGGTGGTAGCTCAGGGTCCAGAGTGCTGGAGACAGGCAGAGCCCCCAGCACAATCAGTCAGGAGAAGATGGAGTCCCAGTGGAACTGATGCAGAGTTTGGATCTAAGCATCAGAACCTGACTAGAGGGTGGGTAGGGATTTTTGTAGAGAAATTACAATTGTTCAAGGGAGAACACTAGATTTGTTTATGGGTAAACTGATGACTCAACGATTTTCTTTAGGCTAGACCATGGGTAGGCAACCTATGGCACGCGTGCCAAAGGCGGCACGGGAGCCGATTTTCAGTGTCACTCACACTGCCCGGGTCCTGGCCACTGGTCCGGGGGGCTCTGCATTTTAATTTAATTTTAAATGAAGCTTCTTAAACATTTTAAAAACCTTATTTACTTTACATACAACAATAGTTTAGTTCTATATTATAGACTTATAGAAAGAGACCTTCTAAAAATGGCACGCGAAACCTTAAATTAGAATGAATAAATGAAGACTTGGCACACCACTTCTGAAAGGTTGCCAACCCCTGGGCTAGACAATAGGAGCTGATCACTCTTGGCTATGGGGGGTGTTTTCTTCCAGGGAGCTCACAATGCAACTAGGCTGCCTCAGTATTTTGGATATCAATCAAGGATTCATTACTAGAATTGGTCTGATAACTGCTGAGCTGGGTGTATGCAGGCGTAGGTTCATTAACATCTGGAGCAGAGATTCCCATGATGCAGTGCGTCCCTGCTTTTTCTGGTCCCAGAGTTCAGTGCGGTTCTCTGTTCTCCATTCCGTATGCAAATTGAGATGTCTTCCTGTCCCATCTTTCATGCAGATGAGGCTAGGGGAGTTGTCTCTGCTCTCCATTCTGTATGCAAATGGAGATGTCTTAATCTTGTCACCCTTGTCAGGAGGGTTCGAGGTGTGTCTCCCAGCGCCCTTCACTGCTCTCTGCAAGTTTTTTTCCTCTGATGGGTTTTGGTTTAAGCAGAGGCTGGGGGGAGGGGGGTCTTTCATGAGTCAGGCTGGATACTGCACCCTGATTCCCCAAGAACACAGAGCTGACTGGTATCAAGTCCCTCCGTTGATGGGGTGCTTGCGCTGAGCGAGTATCCCCATCACCTCCTTCCTCCGTGGTACTGGGTCTGATCTTCGATCCATTGCAGCTGCTACATCAGTCGTTGTATCCAATAAACCAGCAGAACCAGACTAATTGCCAATGATGAGCGGCCATTACAGTCTGCCCCAGGGAGCGGGGGCTAGATGATGACTGGCAGTAGTCACTGAGGTGAGGTGGGTTTAGAGGGTTGGGGGGGTTCCCTGGGGAGGGGAGAGCCAGAGTGGGGGTACTGCTGTGGCAGAACCCTGAGGAAAAGGGCTCCGGCGTCTGGGAGGGACATAGGGCCTGAGGCAGGCAAGCCACCGGTCAGCAGAGGGTGCTCCGAGTGCTGAAAGAGTAAATTCCCAAGATGACCAGCAGGAGGCGCCGTGCTGGTGAGTCCTCGCTTCGCTACAGACCCGCTTACCCCCCACCCCATTGCAACCCAAAGGCTTCCGAGGGGAGCTGGTATTACTCATTCTTCTCATTCAATTTCTCGGCAGGAAGGAAGGAGGATTTGACAGTGTGCCCAGATGCCTAAAGGGTGGGCAGGGCTGACGAGGGGAATTACAGACTCTGCAAGGTGAAGTGTGAATCCATTAAAGTTTCTATATTAGGTCACAGCACATGCCCGACCCTTCTATAAAGAGACAGGACAGAACCTGGTGCGGCTTTTCCACTTTGCAGAATTAGCCTTCGACTTCATCCCAGGCAAACTTTACTCTAAGGAGCCTTTGGTAAGTAATACCGCTCTGGGTTGTTGGTGCTCGAACCACTAGACCCCACTCCCCTTCTGAAGCCAGGGTAGAACCTGGGTGTCCTGGCTTCCAGCCACTCTGCTTTAACCCACTAGACCCTACTCCCCTCCCATAGGCAGGGATAGAACCCAGGAGGCCTGGCCCCCCTCCCCAATCTAACCACTAGCTACCACTAGTAGGAGGAGGGGGGGTGGCACCGGTGGGGGTGGGGTCACTCAGCCCGTGCCCCCGGCGCAGAGTGCCGGTCGCTGTTTGCCTGCTGGCCAAAAAACAGCTCAACAACGCTGCTGGGAAGAGCTCAGAGCCAGACACAGCTGATGGGCGGCTCCCGGCTCTGCAGAAAACCGCTGATCAGCCCCAACAGACCCTCCAAAACAGCTGCTGGGGCCGTAAACTGGTGACTGGTGCCAGCCCCGGAGCAGCCCCGGAGTCAGCGCCTCTGGCTAGAACCCAGAAGGTAGCGTGACCAGATGTCCCCATTTTATAGGGACAGTCCCGATTTGTGGGTCTTTTTCTTATATAGGCTCCTATTACCCCCCACGCCCCATCCTGATTTTTCACACTTGCTGTCTGGCCCCCTTCCCTGCTCTAACCACTAGCTACCACTCCCCTTGCAGAGCTGGAAACAGAACCCAGGAGTTCTGGCTCACAGGCCCCCCTG